ACTTCTACGTTGCCTGGTTCGCGAAATCGTTCCCCGCCAAAAAATTTTATTGGGGGTCTCGTGCACGGGGTTTAGGCATGTATGGAGAAAGATCTTAAAACGGGAGGATGACACACGGGGTAGGAACATATATCCGAAGTTTCAGGCCCCCAGCTTTCCTGGTTGCGAGTTGAAAGTGGGTGACAAAATGCACTCGCTTTGCGCACGCACACAGCCCAGCTTTCCTGGTTGTCGAGTTGAAAGTGGGTGACAAAATGCACTCGCTTTGCGAACACACACACACGCACGCACACACACACAGACAGCTTCTCGACAATATGCGTTTTTGCTGGTTGTAGCAGCGCTATAGCCACAGCCCCTCGACAACATACGTTTTTGCTGGCTGTAGCAGCGCTATAGCACTGCTATAGCGCTGCTACAGCTGCGCAGCAAAAACGCATAAAAATGAAAAGCCAAAAAATAAACCTTGTTCATCCCTTCCGTATTATCAATGTTAAAGACAGTAGTGCACCAGACGTGAAACGAAGCCGCTGCGAAAGCAGGAAAAAACAGTGGAACATGGGCATAGGCGGATCCAGTATGGTCTCCTGCGAGGAAGGTAGGGGGAGGGGTATGGGAGCGATTTTTCATCTCCCCTTCTTCCTTCGCCCCTACAACCCTGCCCCCCCCCCCCTTCCTGGGCAAATTGAAGGTGACAGGGCTCCTGGGGAGGGCGGCAGGCAGTACCGAATACACTTTTTAAAAGTAAAACAATTAACACCTGAGCCCCTGGGGAGGCGAAACGCCCCTCGCCCCCCCCCCTTCCGCACCCTTCCTCGGGTCAGCCAATGAACATGAGATGCTTAGTCATAAGTAATTACATACTCGTAGTCATAAGTAAGTACGCCTACTCGTAGTCACAAGTAATTACACTCTCCATCAGATGACTGGCATAAAAGAAATTCTTGCGACTATGAGAAAAATGAAACGAGGATGTATTTCTCACCCCTCTAACAACCAATGAGTGTCAGTTATCAGTAAGTGCTACTCACAAGAAAGCGAAAGACCCACTGGCGGACCCAGGGCGGGAGGGAGGGGG